GATTTTGCGAAGAACGCGCGTTTTTTGAGATTGCGCCCCTAGAGACATTGCGCGCCAGATTGACGATCCTGATCTCAGACCAGTCGGTCATGGCTGCCGTCGCCACCGACGACCCAGGCACCCGACATCGCGGAGGCTCCCGCTATTATAATCACGATGTGCATTTGGCCCTCATTAATCCGCGCTACGGTGATGCCAATACGATCGACAGTGGCGACCGCGGCCTCTGCGTAGAACTTTGCGTCGTGGCTGACATGGTCAAGGTTGTGCTTGCCGAACAACCGCACATCTCAATGTGCGACGATAGCATCACCGCCATGCGAATTTACGCCCTTGCTGCTTCAAAACGCGCGGCATTGGCGAAAGAAGACGATTGGCCCACCAGAGCTTGTATCCACGCTCATCCAGCACGAGCGCTCCAGATCTTTCATTAACCTCATCGCCCCCCCGGTCGGGTTTCCTAAAGCGGTTTATTAAGGCGCCCCATCGAAGAGGGGGGCCCATAATATTGTGTCGCATGTGGAGGGGGGTCTGGTTTTTAGGGGGGATCGATTAAAACGGGATTTGGAGTAGGCAAAGCATTTTGGAACGAAAGGCTCGGTTCGACAGCAAGTGTTTTAATTTGGTTTCCCTCGCTGAAGCCTCAAACACCATGTCCCCCCGACGCGCTGACTCCGTCAAGGGCGAAAATGGGGGAATGGTCGATTCGCCTTCTGTTAGTTCTCCGAGGATATGGATCTGGATGCCCTCGAGCCCTGTCAGGAAAGGCGCGAGGAACGAGCCGGCGCGTGCTGGCCAGCGAGGGGGCCTGCCACGCGGATTGTATGATCGCGTCAATGAATATTGACAAGGCCTTTCAAAAGGGCACCACGCACCGCGAGCTTGTCGAGGCAATGAGAGAGCGGGAAGGCATTGCGTGCTTTACCCTACCACCAGGCCTTGCTTCGGCAGTTCGAACCCTACCTGGATTCGAGAAGCGCGATGAAGGCAATAATTGCCTTCAGCGCCTCAAGCCAGACAGAGAGACGACGGGCGTCTCCCTCCTTGCGGTTGCGCAACAGCGCGCGCGGCTTCGGATTTCGAGCGACGTCCTGCGACAACGAGCTCGAAACAGCGGAGACGCTACTGACCGCCAAACGCGTAGACGATGCAAACACATCGCCAGATAATGCCCCAATCAGCGGATGGCCCGACAATTTTGGAAACGCCTTGCCCGGCCGCAGTCTCGCGGGAGGGCCCCGAGAGGCTTACTCTTGCCCGCGCGCGTTGGAAGGGGCGCGCCGTCGTCGCCATTCCAGGCAACCATCGGCTCAAAATGACACGGGGGGTCTCCAATTTCGCGGGCGGCGCACGAAGGGCCCAAGATGATCCAGGCGGGCTTCTGGAGGTGCCCTCCACGGCGTGAGAGGGCCCCATCGACGACTCAGGAGGGCCGCGACGCGCCCCCTCAACGGCCCGGAAAGAAAAACATCAGCATCAGCAAGAGAGACAGAGAGAGTTGAAACAATGGAGGAACAACGAAAACGCAACGAAAAAAGAAAGGGGTGCCCACCGACAGCCGCCCGCGGAGAGCCGCCCACCGAAATCGGCTGGCCCCGTGCGCCAATCTCACGAAGGGGCGCCCACCGAAAGCCGCCCGCTCAGAGCCGCCCGCCGACGTTGGCCGGCTACTTTCGCCAGTCTCTTCTATGCCCGTCAGGACCGCTAGGGCCCCTTCAGTCTAAACGCTGACTGGGCAATGAATGTGGCTGGCGCAGGAGAGACGAGCGGTCGTCGCGCGAGATGCGTTGAGCACGCGCTTGGCACGCAAATTCAATGAGCACACTTTCACCAACATTGCCATCAGATACACGAAAAGCGGCAGCCGCCCATCCAACACCCAGAATTCACGGGTGCAGAGGCTTAGAAAGAGGTTGAATAATTGTAACAGACATGTTTGTTCGCTTCCGCGGGGCATTTGCATATGCCCTTTTTACCCAAGTCTGGCGCGCGGTCTACGTCGTCTCGCGACAGCCCGCGCAGGAACCCACGAACTTACAGCTTCGACGGCCCAAGTCGATCAGGCGCGGCCTAGAGAAAAAAGTATGCCGCCATGAAGCCCACTGGAGAATGCGATCTTCACAGCGACTCAGGCTACCGACGGTCGGCCAGAGACGCTGAAGACGAGACCAGAGGTCACGGCATCAGAGGTGCCAGCCTTCTCTGGCGCGGGAACGCGCGCGACGGCATACCTGTCGCACAGCTAAAAGACGCCTACTGCAAGTCGCATAGACTGACGGTTGGGTCAAGCTACTCTGCGGAAGCGCTAGCCGCAGCCCGCTGACCCACAGGCGATCTAAAATTCATCCCCCCCCTGTTGTTTCGGCGGCGAATAACGTTGGCCTTGACACCTTCTCGTCGCGATGGAGACTATTGGCCCTTCATTGTTGGGCGGGCTGGGTGGTGTCCGGGAGGTATTCCCCCAGTGGAGTAATCCATCGTGGGCGACCATGCACGCGGGGGGATGTGGGGGCATCTTCTTATGAGGTCTGCAATCGGCAGGTGCTTCGTCTTGATCCGGGAGCACGCTCGAACTCACCTGCCGAGCGTTGCCGGCGGTGCTCTTGCTGGCGCCTGGTCGACGCGCGGCGACGTGGGATTTGCCCCCTTCCATTGTTGGGCGGGCTGCGAAACGCTCGGGGATGATTTCCCCAGCTGAATAATCTATCGTCGGCGACCCTGCGCGCGGGAGGATGCGCGAGCATCTTCTCGCGAGGATTGCACTTGGATTTTCTTCATTCGATTCGCGCGTTCGCTTCTGAGGGCGAAGCTGCCGAGGGTGGATTTCCTGAGAGCCTGCGCGGGGCTTGAGCTTCAGCGGCGCATCTCAGGATGGAGCTCCCAGGATGGAATTTTTGAGCGTCAACTGTCTGAGCCCAGGTTTTCCGCGAGAGCACCGCGGGCGGGTGCCGCGGGGGGAAACTACTTAATTGGGTTCCCTCTGTCGGCGGGGCACTGGTCCGTCAATGGGACCACAGATGAGATTGTCAATTCAATTTCTCGGGGTTGGGTCTAAAGACCTCCTCGGGATACATGGGCTACTGCTGCCCGACCACAATCGCCCCGCGCGAACCCGAGGCGGGGCCGCCAACGCCAACGCGTCGCAGTACCGTCGGAGTCCGCATGAGAGTCCTTATCTAGCACGGATCTTAAGAAGCTCGCTGAGCGCGCACGTTTGGCCTCATTCGCTGGGTCAGGCAGATGATGGATAGGGCCGCCGTGCACAGCGTGCAATGGCGTGACACGCGGTGCGTGATTGCTGATCGACATGCCGAAGGCAGTATAGACCGCGATATGCTGTTACATGTAGTGGCTGGTACGCAATCTATCGGGTGCGAGCTGATGACTTGCGCGCCCTACAGGACCCAGGCAGCAAAGGCTGAGCCCGGCATTCAATGAACCGGCGGATTTTGGATTTTTTTGCGGGGGGCACGCTGAAGTGAATGAGTCTTGCTTTGCCGCCATGGTTCTGTCTCCCGTGTTCTGTGCCTGCATTTGGTCGCGTGGGTTCACGCTGATTTTTTCGTTTTATGCGTGGGCACACGCAATTTCCAGTCTGCTTCTCATTAACTTCGCGGACTCGATTTTGGCACTTGTCGGGCATGGCCTGGGCCCCGGGTAAGTGGACCGGGTTAATGGTAGGGCCCCGGGGCCTTTGAATTGGCCAGAATCACTAAACCAGGTTTGCCATAGTTTGTGTGTTTTTTTTCGGGTGACGGCAGTTCCGGTCAGTGGAATGGGACGGGGGGGCGCCCTTGGTACAGATCACGAAACCAGGTTCCACCAAACCCAGTTCTACCAACGCCCGAACTTGGACGAGTCGGGCACGGCTTGCCGTGGCCCGTACGCATGTCACGCGCGAGCCCTACTTCTTCAAGGCAGTGAGGAGTTGAATTGGTCTTCCTAAGGCTACGTGCGATTTGCAGCTCTGTTTGGCAAAATGTAGTTAGACGCTCGCCACCGTTCGTCTCGCCCCCCTCGAGATTTTGAACGTAGGTCAGAGGGCTTGGTAACATGTGAGCGAGCGTAGCGAGCGTCCGCGCCGCCGTTCGTTGTTCAAGCGGCCAGCGCTCTAGGTGTTTGGATCGCGAGCGCAGATTTCGATCCGCTATCGCATCGGAAGAAAGTCCACTTCCTGGAAGATGTCTCCCACATTTATGATTTACCACCGCTACTGCATCTCACGATTTCTACTGCACTTTTTGCTGACTTGCGTCGACTAGCGTCGATTCGCAGGAACCGACAAAACGTTGCGGCTCAGATGCAATTCCTGGGAGGGCAAAATGTGATTCTTTAGGCTTGCGCCACGCCGCCGACCCCTTGTTTTTTTCAAGGCAATCTTGGACGTCTTGGGGGCGTCATGGCCCGACTTTATCCCCCGAACCAGTGCGGCTCGAAAGATGCGGGGGAGAGGCTTTGCAGGGCGTGCGCCCGCAACGAGAAGGGTGGGCGGAACGAGAAGGCGGATGCAGAGAATCGCAAGCGGAAAGCAGCGGCGGACGCGAAGCCGCTGACGTGCGCGGCGTGCAAAGGCGCGTTCTCGGACACGAAACATTTGAAGCAGAAGCAAGTGGAACATCATCGAGCGGCGACAGGAGCTACAGTGGTGTGCATCAACCGACAAAACGTTGCGGCTCAGATGCAATTACTGGGAGGGCAAAGTGTGATTTTACCGTGGCCCAGAATGCCGTTAAATCCGACAAGATCCAGCCTGGCCCGGCCAAATCCTGTTAATCCCGATCAATCCGCGGCCAACTCTGGCGCGGTAGCCCCCCCCACGTTTTTTCTAATTTCCCTTCATCCTTCCGACGAAGACCTCCCAGCATTTGCTGTTGAGTTGCCCCCATGCGTTGCCACGCCAAAAGCGCGCTGCGATTCCGATCCTGGCCCCCCGCGGCGAGCGGGAGAGCGCAGCGAGGCAGAGGGGCAGAGCGAAATTTCGCGCCCCCCCCGCGCGCGCGGAGCTCGTCGGCTCTCCGAGGCTGCGCTGGCGAGGGCGGGTTCCGGGCGCCGCGCCCCGCGGCTTGCTGCCCGCGCGGAAGGGGGGGCGCCCGCCGCGGCCTTTTCGCCGCGGCAGGCCGTGCTTCGAGGGAGGAACACCAGCAGTCATTCGGAGGAGGAACAAGGTACCCATGCCGTTGCCCTTCCACCATTTCCCCGTTTTTGGGTTTCTTGGGGGGCCCTCGTCGCCACCGGTGGATACGCCTCGAGACCTTGGTCAGAACGCACCCCGGGGGAGGTTTGGGGAGCAGCGGTATCCGTATCTCTTGGTTCTTCAAGCACAGTCCTTGGCGGCGAAGCCCGAACCGTACCCTCGCCGATCCACGACTCGGGCAACTCGATGGGCGGCGGGGGTAAGGTTCGGAACTCGTCGAGCACGTGGCGATGTCAGAACCCGACCCTCGCCTCTGATCGGATCAGAAGAATTGATCGATGGTTGGCGGGGATAGGGTTCGCATGTCGCAATTTACGTTCGACGGTGAAAGCAGATCCGTCTCTTGGAGCCGGCTGGGGGTCTGAGGTGGCCCAGCAGTGGTGCTGGCCAGCAGGAACAGGGGTGTGATTCGAGGTTCTGGATTCGATTTGTGTTTTTTTGTTGTCTGGTGCCGTCTCGGGCCACCGGGCCGTCAGAAACGAGCCCAGGGTGAGACGCTTCACCGTGCACGCGAACGCTCGAGTGCAGCACCTTCCATGCACCAGCCGCTGGGCAAGCTTGCGGGTTCGCTCCGCACCGGCGGGCACGAGCTGTATGATTCTTTCCCGGGCGGTGCGCCGTGCCACGCAGGGCGTCCGTGTGGCACGGGGCGGCAGGCGGCCCCCCCTGCGGTGCAACCGTTCGAAAAGAATCGCAGTTGCGAAGCTTTGCTCATTTTTCTCCCATGTCCTCACCATAGGAACATCTTACCAGATGAAGAGCCCGGGAGGGGTCCAGGCACAGAGTTTGAGCGGCAGTGTGGCTTCATCTCCACTTCTGGCAGATGTTCTAGAAAGTCCTCAGACCCCCCGGCCGCCTCCAGTCCGCATCCGCGGCCTCGTGGGCAAGGCTCCGTGGCCGCGGCCCCGTGGAGAGATGCGTTTTGTCCGCGGATGTCTCGATCGGAACGTGTCCGTATGGCAGCGTGTCCGCTGGATCGCGCCTCGGAATCCGCCGGATCTCGCCCCGCATGAGGATACGGACATGTTCGCCGTTCGTGAACAAATTCGTTGCGTCTTCGGGTGACCTCGTCTGTTCTGTCAAGTGCCGTCTTTTCTGATTGGTATCCGACGCGTGGTCGTCGCGGGCACGACACGGACTGGACACGGTTTCGGCACGGATGCGACGCGGATCCGAGGCGGATCGCGGAACGACGGGATAGACCAGGTCCCCCGGCATGTGCAGTGCCAGAACAGACATCAGCGTTCGGAGTTTCGCGCGGATCGGCTCCGTGCGGATTCCCTGGATCGGCGCCGGGCCCTCCTGGCGGCGCCTCTGGCGCCGCCCCATGGCGCCGAGGGGGGGCCCGGCGTCGATCCAGGAGGTGCGTTTTGGAGCTCCAGACGTGTCTGCTTGTGCAGTTCTTCCTCCCTCGGGCGCCAGCAGCCCCGATGTCCCAGCCGGGGTCGTCGGGCGTTCCCGAGGCTCGGGGTGGACGAGAGGGGAGAGAGGGGGGGGGGGAATTGGGGAAGGTGGAGCGACGATCCCAGACATGCGCGCGTCGTGAAGTAATCACGACGGGAGGTTCGTGGCCGATTTCGGCCTCCAGGGGCTTCGCCAGGCCCCGGGAGCGTCCAAACGACTCGGGATGAAGGGCGGCCCTTGGGGACAGCGTCGGGGTTTCTTGGGATCACGCATTGAAAAATCAGGACATTCCAAGTTTGGGATCGCAGGCAATGTTTCTCCCCAAAACCTCAAGGTACGCCCCAGAGTACAGATTGGCCGTTCATGTAGAAGTCTGGGATGCCCCCCTTTGGGGCTATCGGGACGCACCCCATATCGAAGATGGGCGCCGCCCCATCGTACATTCCCCGAGTTTGGCCAAATTGTTGTGTTTTCTTGTTGACATACCCCAAGGTCATGAAATAATCGTTGTGTGCAGATGGCTACGGCTTCACCGCCACGCATTTTCCTGGATGGAGATTGTTGGATTTTTCTTATTGTTCTTACATCATTTGGCGCGTAACGGTCATTACCCAGACCAAACCCGTCCCCACCCCAGGTAACGGTAACGATCGTAATTACGTCGTGGACCCCCCAACATATATTGTTGTTCGCGCACATATTGTGGCGATCGCAGCGCACCCCCGCCCCGACGTGTTCCACCTTGCCCAAGCGCTACTGTCACCGGGGGCCAGAACCCTCTTTTGTTCCTCGGGGGGTAATTTAGTGGCAAACGGTGGCCCAAACGCAGCGTATATATTTGATCAACGAATGTCGCCAGGAGAACCAGCCAGAAAATTGTACACTGCACGTTGGCCGGTGGCATTTCTGCGAAGCCCCGTGGGTCAGGGCCCAGATACCTAAGGGTATAATCTCGCGGCTCCCTCTACACAACCTTTTCTCCCCCGGGGGTAACGACTGTTAGCCGGCAGTGGTGAGAACACAGTATCACCCATTCGCGCTTCTGGCGCCTAGGCGCGCCGATAGAGAGCCAGCCGCGTGCAGCCGATTCGCTGCAGCCCCCCATTGCCCGTCCCCGCTCTCGTCCGAGCGGGCCATCCCCAACTACGCCACCTAGATGGGGTCGGAGCAGAGGTGGTCGGAGAATCGCGCCGCGTCGCCGATGCATCGCCGACGCGGCTCGATGTGGAGCCCGATTTGCTTTGCGTCGACGTCGCCGATGCATCGCCGACGTCGACGATGCATCGCCGGTGCATCTGCGATGCAACGCCGATGCATCGCCGATGTATCGGCGATGCGGTGCGATCCTCCGACCCCATCTACTCCGACCCACTCTAGGCGGCCTCTACCAACAGGCCGGCCTGTCCAGCACCAACTCCCTAGGGATCATCACGGACAGCCCATTTGGGCGGCGCGCGCCAGGCTGGTTATTCTGCATCTTCGGGAGGGGGCCTTCCCTGTCCTGTAAATGACAGTATTTTTTCTTGTGCTCCGACGTGAGTCCCACGCGGGTTCGACACAGATTCGACACCGATTCGACGCGTTCGACATGGATCCGATGTGGATGCGACACTGATAGCTGTCGCGATGGGATAGGCGACGCCCCCCAAAGATGCAGCATAAAGGGTTGGGGTGGGGGCAGGACTCCCCCACCATCGAGCCAGACCATGGAGAGACGGGGTCCTGAGAAAAAGGGGTTTGTTATCTTCTCGAACAGCAGCACATTGCATGAACATGAACTGTCGGATGTCCGTTCAGATTTCTTGCATGTGCGTTGGACACCCTCCCTGGCGCTTGGAGCGCGCCAGGGGCGACGCTGAATGCGCTGCTAAGGGGCTCCAGCGCAGATCCAAGAAAACTGCGCGGACTTCCTAAAGTGTAAATTTATGCATGTCTGTTGTTCCCCAAAGTTTCCCCTCCTCGCACCTCCCTGGGGCCCTCCCACGGCCAAATAATGTCAACCCACGGCTTGGCAGGAAAAGCCGAGATGCCTACGCCGCCCCAGGGCTGGACATGAACGTTGTTTGTCGTTCCAGTTTAGTTATGTTGTTCGTTTTGCCCTGCCTGTCTTCCTGCACCTCCCTCGCACAACGAAAAACAATGCACGGCCGAAGTCCAGCAACACAGCGTTTAGGTCCAGCCCTGCGCCGCCCCCCATTGCGGTCGGGTGCATGGCCAAGGGGGCTGAGGGCCCCTCTGAGAAGGCCATGGATGGTGATCAGAAGGTCCCTACCGCCTTCCAGTTCGAAAAGATGCCGCCGCGGGCGTTCGAGGTTGAACGCCGTCAGTGGAGCCCAGAGTCGGCCGACAAGGAGCGATCTGGCGATCGAGAAGTCGCCGACCGTCCAAAGCTGAGCTGATCACGAGGTGTCAGAAACCGACGCCAGGGTCGTCAGGGCACGAACCCGCCTCAGGTCGGCCACGCGCAGAGGGGGGTGGGGGGGGGAGGGAAGGCCTCTTAGAAGCAGCGTCCTTCTAAGAAGCTTTCTCCCTTCCCCCTGCCCCCCTCTGCGCGCCGCCAATAGGAAGCTTCCCGGAGGGCTCCTGTGGAGGCAGGATCTCAGGGGTGCGTTCTCGAAATGCCCCCCCCCCCCACGGTGGTGCGCACCGCCATGCGTCCGCACTCACCAAGTCGATGTCTACGTCCCGCAAGCGGAAGTCTTTCGTGACCACCGCGGCGAGCTACGTCTTCGAGAAAGAGTCGGACCGCCAGGACTCCAGGCCTCCCAGATGAGGTCGAGGTAGATTCAGGGGCGGCCGGACCGACCCCCAGCAAGCCATCCCCTTCTGTGATGTTCCCCTCGCCTCGCCCCAAGGCGAGGACGACGTCGCAGAGGGAGTGGTTTGCTAGGGGTCGGCCAGGCCGCGCCCGACAAGACGGAGCCGGTGGATCGCGGCGCGGCGCATCGCCAAGGCATCGGCGTTGCGCTTCGAGGTGGAGCCCGATCGTCTCCGCGCCAACGGCGCTCGACGCACCGCCGACATCGTGCATCGGCGAAGCATTGGCGATGTGGTTCGATCCTCCTCCTCCTCCTTCATCCTCCTCCTTCTCCTCCTCCCTCCTCCTCCTCCATCCTCCTCCTTCTCCTCCTCCCTCCTCCTCCTCCTCCTCCTCCTCCTCCTCCTCCTCCTCATCCGGAGGGCCTCGAAGAGGACGAGCACGGCGCCGCTGCAGGCGCCGAGAGCCCAAGCTCCCGCAAGAGCGGAATTGAGTCGGGCATGGCCCTCTACGGGAGGAACATTCCACAATAGTAAAACATAGTAATGGGATGATTTGAGTTTTTTTGTACCATTTGGGGGTATTTGTTGAGTATCTTTCATTTGTCGTGCAAAATCCCCCTGTAGGAGGACAGGCCCGACTTAAGAGCAGAAATCCAGAGGATCGTGCACAGTACGTTCGTGCCGCGTCGACGCGCGGGTGGACCCGCCACGGGCGTTCCAGACTGAACACTTGGAGGCGACGACAGGGGCGACTAGCCCAGGGGGGAGCAACACGTGCATCCAGGGGTGCCGACGATCCATGTCTTCGGCGAGGCTCCCGGGCGAATGCGTGTAGTGCCCGCCCCTGGGGCTGTTCGCCCCTGTCGTCGCCGCCGAAACGCGGCGGGTGGCCCAGAAACGGCCGATGTCGGTCTGATCATTTCCGAAAGATCTCGCCGGTCTTTGCTTACTTTATGGGATGCTGTTGTAAATAACGCCTGTTGTCGGTTTCTGCCGCGTGTCGCCACGGAGTGCACGGGTTATTCGGGAGGTATTGCGGGCGCCCCCACATTCTTCACAAAAGCACATATTTTTCTGTAATGTCCCCAATCTCTCAAGGTTTGGTGATCCACGCGGTGTCAGACACCAGCCTAGAGGTCGTCACGGCACGAATCTGCTGTAATTTTTTCACACGTTGCGTCGCATTCGTCCGTCAGATTTGCTCATATCATGCGGCCTCGGGTAACGTTCTGAGCAGACGGTTTTACCCTAGAAGGTTTCCAATCAATGTTGCAGGCGTTCGGGCTCTCGAAGGTGGCGACATCGACATTCGCGATGTCACAGCCATGCCAGGCATGCCAAATCAGATCTCGCAAATCGATTCGGAGGAGCAAGAACAGTTTGATCGACTCGCCTTCATCAGCCCGCTCATCATGACAGAGTCCAACTGGTTTCGGAAGGTGTGGGAATGCGTTCTATTGCTTCAGCTGCTCTACATCGGTATCGTTTTCCCGTATAAGATAACATTCATCGAGTTCAGACTTCATGCTCCTGGTGATTGTGAGTTATCCGCAAGGTCAACTCGCGAAGAAAGTTTTGATGTATTCATTACTATATTTTTCTGGATCGACCTATTCCTGAATTTCGTCCTCACCTACCGCGGGAAGGACAACGTCGAGATTGTGGCGCCCTCCAGAATCGCAAGGCACTACCTCCGCGGCTACTTCGGCATCAACCTCCTGGCCTGCCTTCCCAACGAGGTCTTCACGCCGCTGATCGAGGCGATGGACATAGATCCGGGCGGCTGCTCCTTCGAGGTCCTCCCCTTGTTCCTCCTCGTTTCCCCCTCGCTTCGGATGCAATCGGACGGGGCTAGGACGAGGATATATAATCCATTCCAGAGTGTTCTAGGTTCGCGAAGTTTTGATTGCCTCTTTCGGACTCCTGAGACTGTTTGTGATCATTGTTTTATTCATTGTTTTGCGGATCAGTCTGACCTCAAACCCTCCCTCTTCCCCCTCCATGGAGTAGATCTTGGCTGTGTTGGGGGTGCCTGTATCGAGCGGGTGGAGCCACGAGTCTCCCCCAGAGGCAGCACTCTTGCAAACAGTCGCACTACGCAGAGGTCTTGAGCCAGACCCCCCCTCCCCCCCCCTTTCCGCCCAATGCCAAACCGCCGAATGAAAAAGCGCTCCCCTCTCGGGCCCTGGACAAGGGGAAACCGGATTCGGAGCGAAAAGCTGCAAAACCTGGAGGGGTCCAGGGACCGATTCTACAGGCTTACGCCACATCCGCCGACCCCTTCTGTGACTGTTGCGAGGCCAGGAGTTTCTGGCCAGCGGCGTCTTGTGTGAGGGTGCGGTGTCGCGCGCGGGTGGTGGCAGATAAGTAGGGGGTCCACATGTTTGCGTGATGCCGGTGTTCTGGGGCGTGTTTTGCGAGCGCCTTGCGTGCTGTGCACCCGGGTGCGGGGTGTCCTTCTGGGAGGTCGGCCTTTCGACCCTCAACCAAGTGGAGGAGCACCGGAAGACGAAAGGAGCAAGAGTAGCGTGCAGAAGCTGTGATCAGCGAAGCACCACCGCGAAAGATGTGGCAGATTTGTCGAAACGGGCGAAGAGGCTGTTGACGTTCGCAGCGCGCACGAAACAGTTCGCGTAGCAGCAGCACATTAGCGCCGAGCAAGATTGTGAGCACGTGGCGAGGAAGAGTAAGGCTGCATGCGCGGAGTGCATTGCAGTTGGCTTGACGGCTCGTAATGCGGAAGCGTCTGGGGGTCTTTTGGAGGCCTCCTGGGGGCCTCTTGGGGGCTCCTTGGGGCGTCTTGGCGGCCCTCTGGCGGCCTCTTGGGGCACTCTTGGGGCCCCCTGGGGCTCGTGGGGGCGGAAAGCTAGATCTTAGAATTTTTGGTTGCCCTCTTGGGCCCCTCTTGGTGCCGTCTTGGAGCCTCCTTGGGCCGTCTTGCGCCGTCTTGGGGCCATTTTGGGCCGTCGTGGGGCCGTCTTGGGGGCGTCTTGGGCCGTCTTGGGGCGGTCTTCGGGGCCTCTTGGGCCGCCTTGGAGCGTCGGAAAACCCAGAAGGCGAGTTTGTGAACTCTATACGTTTTACGAAGGAAAGGAACAATTTGTTGCGTCCAGGGACCCTCTTGGGACGCATCTTGGAGGCCCCTTGGGGGCGTCTTGGGCCAGCTGGAGACCATCTCGGGGGTCTTCGATCGCTCTTGGACCGTGTGGGACCGTGTTGAGCGTTCTGCGAAGCCACTTGGAGCGCTCCTGGAACGCTCTTGGGGCCGTCTTCGGGGCTCTCTTGGGCCGTTTTCGGCGCCTATTGAGCCGTTTTGGCGCCTTCTTGGGTTGTCTTGGGGCCCTCTTGGACGCTTCTTGGACCGTCTTGGTGCGGTGTTGGGGGCCTCTTGGGCCGTCCAGGAGCGTCGGAAAGCCCAAAAGGCGAATTTGTGAAACATACACGTTTTACGAAGGGAACGGGCCAACTTTTGCGTCTAGAGGCCCTCTTGGGGCGCATCTTGGATGCCTCTTGGGGCCTCTTGGGGGCATCTTGGGCCGTCTGGAGGCCGTCTTCGATGTCTTTGATCGCTCCTGGACCGTCTGGGACCATATTGAGCTCTCTTGGAGGCCACTCGGAGCGCTCCTGGAGCGCTCTTGGGGCCATTTTCGGAGCCTTCTTGGGCCGTCTTGGACGCCTGTTGGCCCGTCTTGGGGCCCTCTTGGGCTATTTTGGGGCCCTCTTGGAGGTTTTTTGGGCCGTCTTGGGGCGGTCTTGGGGGCCTCTTGGGCCGTCTAGGAGCATCGGAAAACCCAGAAGGCGAGTTTGTGAAAAATGTTCATTTAACGGAAGGAATGGGCAATTTTCTGCGTCTAGGGACCCTCTTGGGACGCATCTTGGAGGCCTCTTGGGGCCTCGTGGGGCCTCGTAGCCCGTTTTTGGGCCACCTTGGGCGTCTTGGAGCGCTCGTTTGGCGTCCCGGGGCCATTTCGAGGCCACCGGAGGAATCCTTGCAGGATTTTCGGGAGCGGATGACCCCCCCGGGGGAATCGGGGGAATCGGGGGATTTGCCCTCCCCCCCTCCCTTCCAAATCGACCGGACCGGGCTCCCTGGGCCCTGAGGATCTGCAGATCCCCTTTGGGGATCTACAGTTTTTGGCTTCATCATCAGATCCCTCTTCATGAACAAGATATATAGTAGATCCCGTTATCTTGATATCATGTAATTAGTGTTACCACTGATTCCTAACAATGAACATGTTCACCGTCAGTTAGCATTTTCAGAGGATGTCTCGAGCGAAACGTGCACGCATCTTCTGAACCGTGGAACTTTCGATGCAGATATGGTTTATTGGCAAGGATAGCAGTCCACAACATATCATGATCGCGCGAATCTGCACTGCAGACCTAAGCCTCACAGTCTCGTCGGCCTTATACACCGACTTGTTGCTTCACACGTTTGCCAGCAATTGCGTCCGTTAACAGGCATATAGCCATGTGCGGCGTGGGCCCCGCAGCAACACTCAGCAACGCATCCGCAATGCCACTAGCGAGCGCGATTGTTTCGGGCAGGGGCGCGGGCCACGACGGGCCAGCGGGGCTGAGAGCCACGGGCCGACGGGGCCATGGGGCCGCGTGCCACGGGGGAGCAGGGAAGAGGGGAGAGGGGGAAGAATGGGGAGAAGGAGAAATGTGTTTTTTCACAATCATCGTGCACGCACGTGGCGTTGCGTTGCGCGGTTTCTCCCCGTTGGCATTCCGTGAAAAGACAGCCGTGTAAGATTGTCGCAACGAATGCGGGAACATTGAGTTGTTAACGTGCAAGCGTGCGCCCCGATTTCACACTCCTGTCCCGCGTCGTCTCATCTATCTTTCTGCTCGTCCCCTGCGCTATCCGATGCTCATCTTACACGCCCCTCCCCCTGCGCCACATAATCATTCGCAAAATCATGCGCGCGTGATTTTGCGAATGAATTCGCTGAGGAAGGGGCGCTTATGACTCGCGTCGAACAGCGCCGCCGAGGGAGGGGAGGAGGGGGGGGGGTCGGCCCCGAGCGTCACCAACCGCGACTCCACGTGCGAGGTCCAGTCCGAGGCCACCAGCCAGCCGCGGGAGCACGGGGCATTGCACAGAGAGGATCGAGAAGAGGGTTGTGATGAGGAGGAGGTGGACGAGGAGGATGAGGATAATGAGGATGAGGCGCAGGAGGAGGAGGAGGAGGACGAGGAGGAGGCGGTGGAGGAGGAGGGGGAAAGAGGAAGGGGAAGGCGGTGAAACTGGGCGGAGTCGGCCCAGATGCAAGCATCAAAACATGCATTACTTACAATTCATTGCCTAGCCAACGATCTGCAGCTCTGCGTCCAGTCACACTTGTGTTCAAGCTCATGTATTGCCGTGCCATGTCGACCATGTGTGTGATATGTGTGCATGCGTGTATGCGCATATTTGGATGTACACATCCACATATGCGCGTGCACATCCGTGTGTTTATATGCGCGCTCATGCTCTTTCAGACGCAGGCTGCATCTCGTGCGGCTTGGGCCATGCTGCCCCATGCAATGCCGGCGGCCGCCCTAGTGAACTCACCTGGGTATGCTTGCGAGGGCTTCTGCGATTTACCCCCTGTGACCCATTCCTTATCAGTTCCCCAGCCGCTGCGTCGGGCCGAGCCAGGGCGTTTCTTGGTCCTAAAAGTAAGTGCACCCTTGTCTTTGCCGAGCCTTTTGTATGATGACGGGCGGCACCGAACAAGATGATCCATATGTTGCAGTGTCCCCCATATCTCCAAAGGTTTCAGCGTGTCCGCGCCAAATCCACCTAAATTGGTGATCGTGCGCTTGGCTTCGCACTTGAAGATAGAATCAGTCACGTAGACGATATGAAAGAACAGGCTGTTGAGCGGCTGCTCGACGACCCAGTGCACGCGCCTGGTCTTGGCGAACACCATGAGAAACGACCTGGGGGCCACTTCATAAACAAACAAACCAGGAATGAGGGCGGATACAATGACAACGAGAACGAGGAGGGCGATGATGAAGAGGAGGAGGAGGAGGAGGAGGAATGAGGATGATGGGGGAGGACGAGGAAGATGAGGAGGAGGAGGGGAAGGAGCACGTAGAGGAGGAGGGTGAGGGGGGGGAAAGGGGGGATGAGGATCGGAGTGGATTAAGTTTACGCCGCGCGAGTGGCGTTGAGATATCAACACTTCTGGGGCGGAGGGGGGCGGTTAGCTGAGTTATGGCATGGGAGAGCTCGCCCATTCGACCCCGTCGGCCACGTTTACATAACTGTTGTTTCTCGAAGCCCACCCGCTTGCTCTCAGTCGCATTCCGAGCTAGCCCCCCCCTGCCTGAGCCCCCCGCCCAGACGGTGCACCGAGAATCATTCGCAATTTCATTTGCAAATGATTTTGCGAATGAAACCTGGCCCAGTTGGTTAACCACACGAGTTGGATCAGCTAACTTGCTGCCCCCCAGGCGACACGAGAGTTGCCGAGTAGTTGGCGTCCTCGACGTCCGTGCGGGTGTCGTCCCCCCAGGGGTCATCCCGGCTGCGGCGCGTATGATGCCTGCACATATCTATCCAAGTTGAACATTCTGGCGACATCCACAAAAGTCCAGTGGGCACGATGCAAGCGGCGAGATATAAACAGTAAAGCGTCCCAACCATGGTTGTTGCATCCATCCAGGGTTGATGCACTTTGTCTGCGGCGTAGGCTGCAAGGTCAAGATAGTTAATTATGTCCCTGGTGATGCCCGCCTGGCCCGAGAACAACTCAGCACATGCTATAGTTCGTGGGACACGAGGTAGGTCGTT